GAGGCAGCTGCCATCTTTTGGAATCATTTTCCTCCACAAACCAAGTTCGTGTAAAAAACTGTCGAGCGTTATCTCTCCTTCAGATTTTGCAGACTTTATATGACCCCGGGTGAATCTCGGATACATTCTTCAAGTTATTAGGTGATTATTACTTTTTATTTCGTTGTTAGGAAATTTAAAAAAAAGCAGTTTCCGTCTTCTGATCACAACAAAAAAGTTCGCGCTGCTAGTTTTGTTAATGAAAGAGCCAAAATAAACATTAGGCTATCTAAAAAAAATTTAAGCGCAAACTTCAGGAGCAGCTACCATAGATATACATATATGGATATATATATCCATGACAGCTAGCTAAAAAAGAATTTTGTAAAAATAAAATTATTTTGTTAATTAGGAACATTGAATGTTGTATAGTTGTTGTCTGGAGATAATTTATTTGATGTATCAAGACGATCGCCAGATCTAACAGCACATGGTTTAAGAGTTTTTGAATAAAAATATTGAAAAAGTTAGATAACTAACAAGTGAAGCTGGTTTTTCTATTCTCACTGAACTTAGAATGTGAGATGAATGCTCCTTTTCGACTCTTCCGGGTTGACAGAAGATAAGAGATTAAAAGCGGTTTTGCATTCTCTCTCAGCCAGTTGCTCTTTGAACTGTTTGCCGACTCACTTTTTTAAAAAAAACTTATAGGCCTATTCTTCAAATTCCTAACTATTTTACTCAACTTAAGTTTTAGACTAGACGTTTTTTCCACTGCTGAAGAAACATGATCTGGATAGAGATGACTTGAATAGTTGCAGACCAGTGTAAAATCTTTTCTTTATCTCTTAATTATTGTTAAAATTGATTTCTAGAGAGCTTTTGAAGCACTTGAAGCATACTTATCTGTTGCCATCATTTCAATCTGATTACAAACAACATCATCACTTTTCTCAACTCGTGTTAAACACGTTTATGCCAAATCAGCGTGTGCTTTTTCAGGCCCTTTCCTCTGAAAGTCTCTACCTCCTTGTCTAACTGTTTCTCCATCACTTGCGAAGTTCAGAGCTGATCTCTAAACACCTCTTTTTGTAAAATTCACTGAAGAGCGCTGTTGATCATTGCGGCATTGGCGCTTTACTATCTAGTTGATTGATTAATTGACTGATCCTTCTACTGAGACAGCTCTTCTGGATTTTATGTTGGTTCTGTATATAAACATGAATGCCAATAACTCATCTTTATGGAATTTGTAGATGTTAGTGCTGCCTTTGACTTAGATCGTGATTGGACCCTCGTCTATGTTTCAAACTCTAGTAAATCGTTTGGATGCTTGCTTGAGTGAAGTCTATGGTTAAAGGGCAAGAAGTTGGCTTAAGCTTTACCAATCCAAGACAAAAATTATCCTGTTGGTACGAGGCAACAGTTTTCAAAAATTAATTATTATTATTTCAGAAATTAAATCTAAATTTTTGTGAAGGACTCGTTTCTAGAGAGCTTTTGAAATATTTGGAACAAAGTTGTTTATTGCCGTCACTTCAAGTCGGAAATAAAATTTTGTTCGAAACAATAACTATAATTTTCCTGCTGTTTTCGTTTTGTAAAGATTCTCTAAAAGTTGTTGAGCTTCAGAATGATACCTTTTGTCAAACGTTTTAACATTCTATCTTGTAATTAGTATGGTTTCAGAATTTCTTGCTCGTAGAACTAGTTAACGCCCCGAGCTCACGCAGCGTGTTTTTATGAATATGAATGACGGATCTGTTTACGTTAGGCATTGTTATTGATTTAACTAAAATTCTTTTGACTTTGTGGCTCTTAAAAAATTAATTTTTTATGGTCTTCGTGGTACGTATGTGGTATATTAATTTACGGTTTAAAAATTGTCTGGGAAATAGGCAACGATACGACGCCTCTGACTCTGAGCTGAAGAAAGTCTCAGGGATTTATTTTCGGTTTATTTCAATTCATCATATTTGTGAATCGTCAGCCCATAGCATCGTCGATTTGTCTTTGTATTTTATATGCCGATGACAATAAATAGTTTTAATCGTCTAGGAATATTGTGAATGATAGAATAATTATATAGGTATAAGTGAATTGACAAATTTGGAAACTGGTAAATATATAAATTTAACATTTACACAAACAAATGTTTGTATACTGTTCCGGGTCCAAAAAATTTTAAACTAATATTCATGATTTGCACATTAATATTGCTGTCTCATTTAAAGTCTAGACTAGACAAAGTTATACTCATTCATCACATGTTAGATATCACTCATAAATCATATCACTTCCTTAAATCAATAAAATCAACCATAAGTTAAATCTACATAAATTTAAATAAATTATTATTTACATCAGTTTTATTTCGCCGTATTTTTCCTTTAGAAACGTCATTCGGCTAATAACCCATTGTACATTGTTAATCATCATTTCGTTACACAGAAATGTATATAAAAATATAATGCAATTTATCTTTTATATCTTATTTATTTAGGATAAAACGGCTAGGAAGGAATTGTTAGCTATGATTAGTGCGACAAAGTATTTCACAAATATATCTACGGAAAAAAAATCATTTCTTTTAGCCTTTAAAAGTTTACTAAATTTTATGAACCCTGAAGAACAAGTGGGGCATGAATAGATCTATTTATTTTGAATTTATTTAATATATTGTTAATTTATTTGATATGCATTACTCATTTTTGTTCTTTATTTACGAAGCGTGAAATTTGAAAAGAATTAAAATCGAAACGCGGACAAATGAAAAAAAAATTTGTGAACCTAAGACTGATGAAATATTAAATATCTTTGTTGTGGAAATATGATTAGAATTTTCCTACGTTTATTTTTCTATCGTATTTATTTTAAAAGTAATATTAACAACGTTATTTATGTATGATGATTACATTAAATTAATTTCGAAAGAGCTTTGACACACACACATGAACACACACACGACACACACACAGGCACACACACACAAGCACACAAACACAGGCACACACACACAATTTGAAATCTTCTACATTTAATTAACAGTTAAATAATCTAATATCGTCAATAAGATAAAATAAATTTTAAAAAACTTTTTGAAAATTATTAATTTCAAATCACACTGAAGGGATAGAGCTAAAAAAATTGCCGATACAAACTTTGGATTATTTATATACATTATACGATAGAAAAAAAAATCTCGATACAACACAGCCTAAGTAAATTTTGCAAAGTTCACAGCTATGTCAAATGGAATGGAATTCAACAACAACAGTATAAATTACTACTGTTTGAATGAGTGTGGCTCTCATTTTAAAAATAATTTTTTAACCTCCAAAACTTTAAAACACCACTCATTTAAAACATCATTCGTATAATAGCCATCCCACATGTATTACATATAATCTTAAAGGCATCTTATCAATAAGAAGGCAGTATTTTGAAACTCCACGATTTAAAGTGCGCTCGCATAGGTTGCAGCAGTGAGAAATAGAAACCGAAATGAAATAAATGCATGCTGATATGCTAGTTGAAAAAGCTTATCAAAAAATGTTGTAGTTTTTATATCATTCATATTTAAAAGGTAGATGATATCAGGAACGAGTTATAAATCATTTGGATGCTGCAGGTTCGATCTGATGGTACCTTACGTACCAGTGCTTATGAACAAATGCTGCATCTCAGCAAATTATTTGCGAAATATAATTTATTTAAATTATTATATTAATAAACATACACAAAACTTTTATCAAAAGCCATCCACTCGACGTAATTTGTATACATTTTCAGATGATGACAAAATTATTTCTTTGAATTAATCTACTAGATGTTGTGCATCGTAGATTGATTGTTCGTTGTATAAACATCATGAGCCATCAATGCTATCATCCAGATGAACGCTAACTCCAGCCTGAATAAACAAGTACAGTTCATCTCCGGAGAGTCGTCTTTGTAATGGTTGCACGTCAAACGATTTTCAAAACAATCTACCGGTTATTATTTTTAGTTAATCTATCAAACTATCAAAAGCGAATTTTTTATAGATTTGTTTGTGGTTGCTAGTTAGATAGGTTAGAGTAGCTGAATTGATCGCTTTCATCATTGCCGTTTTCCTCCAATATAAAATTTTCACGATCGTCATAATTACTTTCTTCATTGTTACCAGTTAGTTGCATGTTACTTTCTACGCTGGCCGATATCTTTAACGGTCGCATAGTGGACGTGGTCACTGAGGCTTCGAAGCATTCAACCAAACTAACGGTGGATGGAGACGGAGGAATGGTGGAGATGTTGTTGAAAGACGTCCATCGTTTTTGAAAAAATTGTGGTCGCTTGTAATTTTGAAATACCGAAAATATTCCCTTGTAGTGTTCACGAAATTTAGAAGTGTTATTATTTTGGGTTGGTAAATTTAAATCACTAGGCGAATAAGTTTTTTCTAACTGTTTTTTCCCGCGGGGAAGTGTTGTGCATGCATATGTTTTATTTTCTGCAGTTTGATTATACAACTCAACGTTAACATGATCATTTTCACTTCGTTCGTCCAGTTCGTCACATTCATCAGAGTACTCATAAACAGGTGTTAAAACTGTTTGGTTCATTTTCAGTATAGGATAATTGTTAACAACTGGTTTTGTTTTGTTTTTTTCCGGTAGTTTTGGTACTATTTTTGGCTCAAACTTACTCTTAACATGTTTGGCGAGTGATCTTGGCAATGACCAAAACTTGTCAGGCGGCGAAATTGCATTTTGAAATTTATTTTTAAGAAAAATGAACTTATTCTTGTTTGCTGAAAATGTTTCGTTGGCAACATTTTCTATATCGTATTCTTTTACGCTTCCGAAACGGAGATTTTTGGCACAACCGAGAGTTCTATCGTCATTTGTGTTTGATATGTATTGACTGAACAATCGTTCCTCGTTAATTTTTGATTGGTTAAAATTATCATAAATTGAGTCTAATTGTTTTAAAGTACCCGCATTTGGTGCAACTTTATCTAGAAAGTTGTTCGCTCTGGCAAATTTTACTAACTGTTTTCTAAACCCTCGATTACTTAACACTACCGTTCTTTTTCTCTTCAAATAATCAATTGTTCTGAGAAGATTCATTTTGTAGCGATTCATGAGGAAGGCAGCAACAATTGCTCCACTCCTGTTGACACCCAGGTTGCAGTGAACCAGGGCTCTTCCTCCTTCTTTCTCGGATTGATCTAAAAATTCTATGGCTCGCATGAAATGTGCAGATATGTTGTAATCTTCGTTGTCTGAAGCTCCCAGTATTAAACAGTCGGAAACGCCAACGTTGTCTGGATAGATGTTTGTATGGATGAAATCTTGAATTTGTTGCAAGCAACTGGATTCGCTGAGGCTGTCATCGTAATCATAATTTTGGGAATGATCATTTTGTTGTATAAAAGGTTGTTGGGATCGATAACGGTTACGAGCACTGTCTTTGGACTGCTGCTTAAAAAATGGATAACTGGGGTTGGTGATTGCTAACTTGCTGTTTCCCGCGCAGTTTACAACGTGCGTTATGCGATATCTTTTCAACAAGTCGTGATCATCTGCATGCTTTTGGTTGCCCATGAACAAACCATCGGCCAATTCAGTCATGTCACTTGGTGGACGTGCCATAGAATGAACGACGAGTATTTCTTTCATGCGATCAAGGTAGTAGTTGTCGTCAAGTGTGACTGCCGTTGCGACTGAAGAACTGTTAGTGTCGGCGTGATTAGAAGTCGCAGAATAAGCAGAGCTGGCAGTCGCTCCATTTGCAGCCGCTAAAAATTTTTTTTCTGGAGACTTTGTTGTTGTATTTGTTGAAAATGTCGATGTTGTCAATTTGTCTTTAGAATATTCAACGTATGATTTCGAGGTTTTCATAACGCTTTCATATTTACCTAAGCACCTGGTTAGATGTTTTTTTCAGGATACAACAGACTCGTCATAAAAAATATGTTATCCAGCATTCAGTTAAACGATGGAAACGGTTTTAAATGAAAAGTTTTTCTATAGATTAAAATAACTAAAAAAAAACAAAATGTTTTTATACCATTACAAGGACATTTTATACCATTTTAGAAAATTATTCAAACTTTGTGAGAATAGTCGAACTTTCGAAATGTACGGTGAATTGAAAAAATTCCTAAATGTTGCTTTGAAACTGTTACAAATTTATAAGAAGTTGTTAGACAATCATACAAACAATGAATGATAACAAGAAATAACTTTTCATCTCATTCCACATCCCGGCTATACAAGTTTTCAATCGTAATTTTTTTATATAACTTAATAACAGAACAATGTTTCAATGTTAGTTATTCTACAATTTCAGATGAATAAATTTTAAAATCAATTTTTATCATACGTATTGCATTTAAAAATTATTATTAAAATTGATTAACAACGAACAATGTTATTATATGTTTTTTTTTATATTGTACGATCAATTATATACCTAAACGCTAAATTTCAACGAAGCTCTAATGAAAGATTGTCAGAAATATACAACATATTAACACACACACGCACAAACACCAAAATATATAATTTTATTCATATGTTATATATATATATATATATATATATATATATATGTATATATATATATATATATATATAGACACTTATATATGCGTTATAACCATAACACTTGCAGAATGATCGCATATATATCCAATCCACATTAATATAATTGTAGTAGGTAATTATTTGTTTATTTATCCATATTAATGTACTCAGCGCCAAACATCGCACTTATAACCAGTCATAAAGCATCAATAAGCATCCTACATTTCATCCATTGCTTGCCATATTTCATTATCCATCCATGCAATTTCTTCTATAAATGTTCATCCTATATACCAGTATTCAATATACTTATGCATATGTATATATTTTTGTGTATTTGTGTACGTTAATAAATGTATGAATAATATTTGAATACAAGCACACAAATGTAAACACACGCAACATAAAAAACCCACACACTTTTTATTTAATATATTTTAATTTACTTATATATGCACACATACACACACACATATAAAAGTATTGAAGTTTCTTTGAGTTAAATTTATTACCAAACCCTTAGGTTCAATAGCAAACAATAAAAAGCATATACTGAAACACTCATTTTGCCTCATTTTCTCGAAAGAAAGTTCTTAAAATGATCGAAAAATAAATAATTGAATATCGCTGACACTCACAATCAAATCAATTCTTGTTAATGAATTTACAGTGGCAGTTTTTATATCTCTTTATAGAGACACATTCGAAAGTGTTGGCGTTTTAAAAAATTTCTCCTTCAGACCTAAGTGTAATTAACTATTTAAATAGCGAGCAAGAAAGACTGTTTCTTAATGGCTAGCCCCTTTAACCGAAAATAATTTTGTAAAAAAAAAACAAATTTCAATAAGAAAATTTTTAATATAAAAATTTGACCTGAAAAGATTTTTTAAATTTAATATACGGCATACTTATGCTTATATGTAAAATAATTATTTTTATTAATAAATTTATATTAGGTGGAAATATGCTGTTTTCGAAATCTGAGTCAATCATTCATTCATATAATTGTAGATATATATCTAACTTCAAAATTAGTGTGTACAGAAACAAAACATTTGGAGCAAGTACAAATTGTTTACTTCTTTACAAGCAATCCATCGCAACTGTGCTTCTCGCACTTTTTAGCTTCGTGGACCGACAACGAATTTTAGGGGAACGTTCCGGGCCGACACCCAGCCATGTGAAGTACATGTGGGAAGTTTTGATGTGCAGAAAGAGATTATATCGGCTCTTAAGTAATTAAGTAAATGGTTACAATTTTGTAATGTATTTTCATATCTGCATTTCAATCCTTGCACTAAGAGTTGGACTAGCTTTTTGTTTGTTTGTGTTTGTATTTGTGTTTGTCTGTTTACATGTTTGTTTGTTTGTTTGTTCTAATATTTTCTTTCTAGTGTGGCTGGTTGTGTTATTCCTTGTAGGCTTTTTGAAGTTGTCTTCTATTTGAGTGGAGTGAAATTGTTAGAGCTCCAGCCAAACAACGTTCTCCATTTGTTATTGGGCAAATATTTCTTTACATCAAAACAATTTACGTCGTGTTTAGAAAAAAAACTTTGACGTTAACGAAGTAACGTACTTAGATATCGATGCAGTTGTTTTCTTGTTGTTCTTAAGCACTTTGATGAATCGAACATTGTTTTCTGTTAAAGTTACTCGAGCAAAACTACTCAGCTTCAATAACTTTTATTCAGAAATACAGTTTGGTTTTTATAAAGCCTGTTGAGTGATTTTTCAATTGATGTTTTGGGATGTTTATTGTTATAAAACATTAAATTGTCCACAAAAGTGTAACTACCAAAAAGATTATGTAGGACACAAACACGACCCGATGTACGTACTTATTGGTTTGGAATGAACGCGGTTTCTGTGTGCACGTGTAGGTAAATCATTGCACCGTAACCGGGCAGAGTTTGTTGTTGAGTTTCAGACAAGCGCCTCTTGAACCAGCTGATCGTGAAGGAAAAAAAAACAAGAGACATGACTTCTTGATCGGGTACAACAATATTTTCAAGAGCAAGCGTTGCCGAAGTTATGAATGATTGCGATAACAAACTTATTTGGAGATGTAAACCATGTTGTTTGGATGAATATCAATGTATGAATGAATGTCAATTATTTTTCTAAAAACAATGATTCTGCTAATAAAATCATTTTTGTTTTATATGAAGAATAGAACTTTGGATCTGATAAGATCATAAATGTTGTTGTTTTTTTTTGCTGCCTGGCAGCCAGGCGATGTTTTCACGAGTGTGAGTTCAATGCAAGACGATAGTATTTTTCCTTCTTTCGGTTCATCACTTATATTCAACTTCGAAATTTAATTTTTTTGATTATTGTCTTATTTTTATTTTTCGAAGCAATATTTATAATTATTTTTGATTTTTTTTTTATTGAAATCCATCCCGTAAATATCATCCAATAAATATCAAAATATCCATCCACATATCCGTTAATAGACAAAAACAAAACAACCCATGAATTTACATTGGTTGTTATCTCTGCAAATAAAAACTTTTTGCATGTTCAGCTGGACAGTGTCTATAAATGTTCAAGCAGAGCTTGAAGAGTAGAGCAGCGAAAAACATTCCAGATGATCTGATTAAAGGACGAGACGATGTACGAACATATCAATGAATATGTGCAGTGCTGTGCTGTGTTGTAATTGTTGTTAGACAAAAAATGTGGAAAATAAGAAGAATTTTATCCTTTCCATCATCAAAAAACAACTATAAATTACTGATGAAAAGAAAAACACAGCTAATAACTTAACAAAACAATTACTTGCAGAAATCTATAATCTCACACACATTCATACACACACACATATATACACGCATTCACACACGCACGCAGGCATTCACACTTGTACACATTCACACACGCCCATACAAACTTACTACTAAGTAAATAAATAATTGTTAGTCTATCCCTTATGTAATGAAATGTTTGCAATAATGAACAACGAGGTGGAAACATTGAAAGAGCTTATAAGTTATAAACTTCGTACGTGCATTATTCATCGTAACATCATCGTCATCATCAGTGCTATCATCACCATTATCATCAGTGCTATCATCATCATCAGCGCTATCATCATCATCATCATCATCATCATCATTATCATGAAACGGTAAAGTGCCTGGCACTGCTGTTATAGTGTCGGGATTCGGCTGCACGGAGATACCTGCCTCCCACATGCGATGTGTGTTCTGCGTCGTTCCACTCTTATGAATTGACATGCATTTTTGTTTGCTGTTGACACATCTGAAAACATTTAAAAGTGAATTGTGATAAATAAATAAAATTAATAAATAAAGATTTTATATTAGTATATTCATACTCTATTTTAATTTCATATCACATTCATTCATCAAATATTTCTATCAAATAATATTTTTCATCATACTCTAAGCGGTTGTTGACTTTGATTTGACATCGAGCATGTTTCATTGTGCATGTGCATCACTTTGCCATTCTACCTCGTTCAACTCGTTATCTTCATGCTAACTCAAAATCCACCAAAATATTGCTTCCACCTTCCATGAAACCTTCCACCCACCCGCCCACACATTCACATAAATTCACATATTCTATTTTAAGATAAGATTTTATTTTTAGCAAATCGTTGCTGTTTCAGAAGTTATCAACAGACATTTGTTTTTTTTTTTTGCAAGTGTTAATATAGTGGAACAAAATGCTTTATTTCAAATAACAAACGCTGCCCGAACATTAACACGTGATTTTAAAAGACAATACATCCATTAAATGCCATATGTATGAAATATTAAAATTTGAGTGCAACCATGCAACATATGATATGCAACAAACAACATACAATATGCAACATGCAACATACAATGTGCAACATACGGTATGCAACATGCAACTTATGATATGCAACAAACAAGATACGATATGCAACATTTAATATGCTACAAGCTACATACAACATATACATCACGCAACACGAAATATGCAACAAGCAACCAATACAAGTTGGTACCATTCACTGCAGTAAAAATTATACTAGCAAAAACGTGACACATAACCACATATAGAGCTGAATAGATACTCTGTGAATGAAAGATAAGTGGATGGATGGATGGATGGATGGATGGATGGATGGATGGATGGATGGATGGATGGATGGATGGATGGATGGATGGATGGATGGATGGATGGATGGATGGATGGATGGATGGATGGATGGATGGATGGATGGATGGATGGATGGATGGATGGATGGATGGATGGATGGATGGATGGATGGATGGATGGATGGATGGATGGATGGATGGATGGATGGATGGATGGATGGATGGATGGATGGATGGATGGATGGATGGATGGATGGATGGATGGATGGATGGATGGATGGATGGATGGATGGATGGATGGATGGATGGATGGATGTATGAATGAATGAATGGATGGATAGATAGATATTCACTGAGCAAAATAGGAGTAAAATATGAAGACATGAAGTTAATGGAAACTAACCATTCCGATGGAATTATCGTGTGGCGAATTATCGTGTGAAGTGAATGAGTTGAGGTCGGATTGCAATTCATAATTTTGGTTCAGCCGATGGAATGTGTTTCCACCTCAAAGTGTTTACTGCTCGTTAATGGAGCTTTTTATTATTAGTAGATAATTTTTTATCATTTTATAGACAATACTTTTATTGCAATCTTTGCTACTCCTAGTAACAATTACATTGCAAAAATTTTGCGATTTTTGTTGCTTTCATTAAATATTTATTAATAGTTAGGTACTTTTTTTCGTTATGTTTATCATCAATATTGTTGATGATGTTGTTATTATTGTTGTTGTTGTTGTTGTTGTTGTTGTGGTTGTTGTTGTTGTTGATGATGATGTTGTTGTTCCTTTGTTTCTTTTTATAGTACAGACACGTGTTAAAACTTATTTAGTTAGAAGAGAAGACGATGAATGACAGTTAACATCAGCTCAATATTGATCATACGATCATAACAGTTTACGTTTGCTACTATGTTCATAACAAGTTAAGATTTAACATATTTATGTCTGACTCTTTGTTTAATTGTGTGTGTGTGTGTGAGTGAGTGTGTGTGTGTGCGTTGGATTTTGTGTTGTTAAATAATAATTAATGATTTAATTTTAGTAACAAATTCATTATTAATATTATTAACGTTATATGTATTTTTATGTTCTTCCAAGTTTTGGCCTTATTTCAACTGTTTCTTTAGTACTCTAAATTCTTTGAGTTCATTATTATTATTACTACTTCAATAATTTTGTGTTTATTGTTTCTGTTCATATTTATTACCATTGAAATTGTCGCAAATTACATGCTTAAGAGCAAGAATACTTCTTGCATATATAAACAAATAAATTACTGAAAAGTATTAATGTCACAAATTTTGTTTAGCGGGTAAAATTCAGATTTTGTTTATTCTGTAAATCAAACGAACTCTGCCAAACGCAGAAGTAAGTAAAAACATGCAAGGTATGAAACGGTGAAAATAAAATTATGAATGTAAAAAGTATTACAAATGAAAAATGAAGTTTAAACAAAATACTGGTGGCAATAAGTAAATAACAAATATATAAATGATAATATAAATGGTAATGAACAAGTAAAAAAGGCAGTCGCAAATATAGAAAAGCTTCCAGTCCAAGTGATCGCAACTGGTTTCCATTTTGGCAATTTTTTATATTGCTCGCCAGGTGATGGGATGTTTGTTTGTTAAAAATAACGCTTGCATGTTTTGTTTCAATTTACGAGCGCACTGTTTAAATATCAAATATTTAACAATATTCTTTGTTTTAGTTTTGAAAATATTCGTCCAACGGAATCAATTTTATTGAAATCGAGAGAGAAGTTTAACGTGACGACAGACTTCGTTTTGCTTCAATGTGACCAACTTGTTGGTTCACATTTTAAAATTTACACCTGCGTGTAGTTTCTGGAGGTCAGCAAGTATGAATTAACACTTCACGCCTCTCAAAATGTGCACGGGTGCCCACCCTACCAGGAAATTTCGTTTTCCAGAACATTATTTTAACTTCAGTAGTAGCCACTTAGAATATAGAAGATATGTATCAAGAAATGTATTCAACGAATTTGTCCAATTCCACGATCAGTACCGAATAATAAACTTGGTGGGGTGAAATTATTGCCGCATTTTTCTGAATTTCAATTATATATTTAATGCCTTTTACTAATCCATCTAAATGTGTACCACAGTAGTATTAGAGGATGAACTGAACACTTGATTAAATGGCGTGATCATTCGTTACCTGTTTTTTTCTTCAAAATTATAGTCAGTAGTAGTGAAAAAGTGACTTCCAACCAACAAAAACATGAAAATGATAACAAATGAAAGTGAAAATTATTCTGAAAAAATTTATTGATTGGTGCCAGTTTTTCAACAATGTCAATACAATGAAGCTAGATTTAGACAGGCTGCACTGTGGCTGTTGTTATTGTGGTTATGGCTGTTGCTGCTGCTTCGTTTGTCGCCGGTTGCATTGTTTACGAGACTATTGAAAGTTGTTTACTATCATCACTACCAGACAGACCTCTACGTTTAATGAGAGAAACGCTGAACAATATCTCATAATTTAATTTTTATATTCAAATATTTTAACGCACGGTTCAGGAATTCTTATAATTGCATTATTTTTTTATACTAAATAAATTTAATTGTGGGTTTTGGTATATAAATTTTATGATTTCATTCATTTAAATGATTTCATCATTTGTTACTTTTTTATTCTGTTTCAGTTGATTTTTAGCGTTTCAAATAACTTTGAATCGGTCAGAAGCATTCATGTTCTATTTTGGTGTTAAACTTCATACAAACTACTGCAAAAGCTTCCGTTATTAATTTCAATCCTCTGTGAGAAGTTTTAATAAACTGTTTATAATAAACTTAAGACCTAATCAAGTTTGGTAGTTATAACTGCTAGAAATCGTTTATCTTCGTGAATGCAGCAATCGTCACTCTCATATGAATGATTAGTTAGCATAAATGCATTACAGAATGATGTTATTGTTTTAAACTCCAAAAAAAGATTTATTTTCTAAAATTATTGACAAAACAACATCGTCACCAGCCTCATTATCATCATCATTACAATCGCTATCAACAACACTACAACGACATCAACAACATCATCAACAACAACAAAACAACATCATATACCACAACATCATACACAACAACATCACCAAAATCATCATCATTATTATTATTAACACCATCATCATTTTTCTCTACTCATCCTCACTCACCAAAAACGACGTCAACAGAAAACCAAACTCCTCCTCAACATCATCCACATAAAAGCCATGAACAACAACAACAACAACATCAACAACAACAACATTATCATCTTCTTCTTCTTCATCATCATCATTCTCCACGCGCCTATTCTTTTCCATTGTTTTATTGCTTGGAGCAGCGTTAGTCTAAAATAATCGATACAACATCGAAACGTTCTTACAAAGTAGTAGAGAACAAGCATCAGTAGCGTTGCTGTAGTTGTATAGAATGGGTCTTGTGGGTTATACAGTTTACAAACTTAAGTCCCTTTATATGTAAAAAATGTTATTAAATATTTTTTGTGTTATAAAATGTTTTATGAATGTTTGTGAGTGAAGCAAGTATTTTTCACAAAGGTCTCTATAGCCCAAAACATCAAAAGTGTCTGAGATACGTTTTTCAATCATATTGTTATTAAAATGTAACAACGGTTCAAATAAAATAATTTTATAGGAAGTTCAAAACTCGTTCTAACAACACGATAGCAGATCATTTACGTATCTTTAACATTATTATTGCTTGCTTTTGAAAGTGAATTCATGATAAAAAAAAATCGGCCATCTAATTTATATTCTGCATGCAAAAATTATGCGAGAAGAAGATTTTGTAAACTTTATTGACAAGTCAATATCACAAAAAATGAACGTTCTAAATTAAATTAGAAATTAACTGGAAAATTCGTTGAACACTACAATCTAAACCTATTCATTCACATCTCACGAAAGAAGTTACAGAAAGAAATATTAATATCGGTCTTTTAAAAAGGCTCTTCAATTTATGCATCTTCATTTTATTGATAATTGAAATAATCTCTATGACGTAAATGAAAATTTTAATTTCAATAAATGATTTACAAGTAGTGGAATAGATTTGTAATACTTCTACATGAACAACGGTTGAAATTCTATGGAAGGCATGTTAAGACAATGAAATAAAATTGAAATATGATTTCTGGAGTGAAATGATAATTCGATGAATGAATTATGTATCTACTGCATGAAACAAAAGTCTGTGAATAAAAATAATTGTCACGAGTTTGAGAAATTAACAACATTACATTTGACTAACTAGCTGGAGAATGTGATGAAAAGAAAAAATTGAAAAGTTGCATGCAATTGAGAAATTACACTTCTTGTTCAACTATACAGCACAATTAAGGGAAATGTTGAAAAGATTCAAATTTGAAAAATTAAACTGAAAACTGAAAATTAGCAGGAATGCATTGCGTTAAAAAATCAATAATTTAGAAGAATTTGAAACAAACGTTTTTTTCTTTCACTCCGAGAGAAGATTAACTGCCTTCTCTTGTGAACACACACAATCATTCTCTCGTCTGGCTAAATTTTACGTTCAAGGAACCAAATACAAAGACAACGAACTAAAATTATTTCAGATTATTTCAGATGTCTATTTTCTTTCCTCCGGTTCCTCGACTTTTGTCCATGTGGCGTCGACCAGGTTTTTCAGCAAGGATGCGTTTTTCAGGGTTGTAGTTGTTCCAGAGGCCGCACAAAGCCTCCCCTGACACCACCTCTCCCATGTTCTGGCTGATGAGTCGCAGGATGAACATCCCGTCTCTACGCAAATAATTTTCCGTAAATTTCGCCAAGACGTTAGAATCTCGATGGGCGATATCGAAGGCTCTCAACCTCTGCCGAACATACTGCACCTGGCCGGGCCAGTACAACGATCGGAAAAGCCATTTTAACAAATTGATCGATGTTACAATAATGACAAAAACAAACCAGAACCAAACAAATACAAATATTTTCTCGTTGAAGAGATTGATGGTTAGGGCACACTGAACAACGTAATTGATGATTCGTGACTGGTAGCGAAGGTCAAATTCACACAAGGTCACACGTGGAAAACGTTCGGATGGCTCCCATTCTTGTCCTTTTATTAGCTTATCGATGACGTACGTGCCGTACCAATGGTACTCAATGCCCAGGAACACCTGTCGTTGGGTTGGTTGGCAATTTCTTAATAATTGTTAAATGGAAGGAAGACTTTTACAAAAGTGAGCAATTAAATCTCAAACATCATTCGTGAAATGCTCAATTTGAGTGAAGGGCCGTTTCGAAAATAGATGGAGTTTAAATTTCTTCAAAAATTTGGATCGTTAGGTGTTCAGTTTTTAATATTTTTCTTAATTTTTACAATTTTACATTTTTAAAACACTTTTTTAAAATATGCCAATAAATTAAAAAGAAATTTTTTTTGCCATGTTAGGGTCAAGTTAGGTTAAATCGAAAATCCGTCTTGGTTGTACAAATTAATTAAAATACGACTCTCATTAAAATGATATGAAAAATGTTGGGCCATGATCCAAACAAGTGCATCTAACCACCAAGATTAGCCTCTGATTTTGCCGCCAAGCCGTGTTAGTTACAGAAATGTTATGGAAAGGGTGCCAAAAAAATTGTTTTTTCGTGTTGCGTATTATCTGAACGGCCCTTATGGTTTTATTTCTACAACTTATATCATTAAAATTTTGCAATGCAATATAAAAATATAAACAAGAAGTTTCGTAATATCATTTAACAACTCACTTCCATGAGCATGAGTTGCACAATAGCAACAACGATGTAGAGCATCTTAATGCAGAGATATGCTGTTATGAGATAATTGCCATAGAGTCTGCCCCCTATCAAACAGCAGACCTTCGCTACGAAATGTTTGATTCGCACCAAGCAACCCGTCCTGAACTCTCGCTGGCTGAGGAGGTAGCGATCCATGTGGTTGACGATGTAGCGGACAGCTTTCTCCCTCACTTCGAGGTACGATGCTTCCGAACAAACGTGCGCTGCGTCCATGATCGTGCAGAGGTTCACTCCAGACCTCTGGTTGAGGAAACGCCAGAGTTGGCAGGGGATGAAGGATAAAACGGCTTGAAATATAAGAATCAGTGGTACCCATTGGTAGTAACAGATCACCTGGAATGAGTGTTAACAAATTTTTAATTGATTAATGTGTGATAGAACTGTGCCAAAGTACAAATTTTTTTAAAAATAATGTAGCCATGCATCAATTTTATCATTAAGATTTGCTTGCATGGAGAGTATAATTTTTTAGCTTGTGAAAATTTTGTTTAAAAATATAAATAATTGTTAATTTGAATTTAAAAGTGTTCTAAACAATAAATAAACTTTATCATTAATTCAAATTTAAAGACAATTTTGTTCATTTCAAAAAGAAATACATAAGTGGTCTATAAATTGACTGTTTATATTAATCCGTATTTTTGTAGCGAAAACTCTCGCTTATTGCACCAGTTGATCATGGGCGCCCTGACGACCACGATTAACACGATCAAACATACTTTTTCACTGGAAATGGCGTGGAAATGAAATTGAATACAATGAAAGTCCTGAAGAACGAGATCCTAAAAGGCGGACAGTCCAGAGTAACGGATAGGCTCGGTACGGAACTCTTTTGCATATTAAATCATACGTGCCAAATATTTGGATTCTTAAAAGCGGGGCAAATGTGTGTGTGTGTGTATATATATATGCATGTGTATATAAATATACAATTATTTATAAATTCTAACGAATGCCAACAATTCATAGAATTCATACCAACAGTATCAAAAAATGGTCTCCTTCCAACATAATATATATATATATATATATAAATACAGTTGTCTCAGTGCTTTGATGTTTTTGTACAATCATAATCATCATCGATATTTCGATCAAATTACATTAAATAAACAGTCGGCGTTTTCCTTTGTTGTTTTATTAGAATCATAATCATTACCGAAATAGCAACTAAACTAAGAAATATTTCTTTGATGTAACTCGTTATTAACATAACAATCACTGACGTTGCATTGGAGTTAAAGAATTGTTTCATTGATGTATTTGTGCTAGAAACATAATAAAATGGCGGTTATGGCTATTTTAAATTTGTTAATAAATTGCATTGTTGATATGCAATTTATTAACTTTATTTATTTATTTGTTAATATAATTGTGAATTGTATTTATAAATTGTTAATAAATTAATTAGCTATTTGTTTTGATTTCGCAAAAAGCGAGACAAATATGCGTCCCGCGGGACATGGAGGGCAAAATTCGGGACTGTCCTGCTTAATTCGGGACGGTTGGCAATGATGGTTAAATTTCCTCTTAAGAGCGGACTTTTTGAAGTAACGACATACGGATAGGCTTTTTGGTACAACAAAATGACTTAAAGTCTTGAAGATTTTTTTAAAATTAAAAACTGATGTTTTTAAATAATAGTTTTTTTAACTGTTTTTGAAGCCAGCAAGTTTTTTCACCAGAAGATGTTTTACAAGTTTCTATAATCATAATCGTTTTCAATATGGAATGATCTGCTCTTGGTATTGTTGTTCAAAATAGCTGTTTCAAGTATATCAAAGATAGTTCTTGAGCACGTCACACGTTAGTGATGAGACTAAAAAAATTCTTTCTCATGAATCTTTTTTATTACGTCGGTAAGTAGAATACAGATTCGCAGAAGTTATAAAATGTAGATGTGACGATCCATATGAACACACACAGCGCTCACTTTTTTTAAGCCGCTTGAAATCTCTCGCACCCGAGAATTGTATTCTGGTATACGATGTTTTTGTGTTTTAGCACGAAGTATATAAAAAACTTTATAAAAAGCATAGAGCTTAGGCTTATACTATCGTAAACCCTTTACCACCAATAACATACATACACATTAAAACACAATATACTTTTAATGATGAGTCATATAATTTTTAACCAAAACGAAATCAATAAGCTTCAAACTTCAAACGACACCTGTTTTTTTGATTGCATAGAAAATTTGTCTCTGGGAATGATCTCATTGACAGGTAGGTAGTAAGTGTTGCTGACCCAACAGATGGTGTCCGTGTAGTCCCGATGACTGGGCTTGAACTCGGGTGGGCACCAGCAGCTCATGGGAACGCCAACAAACTGCTTGGTGCTTGCGATGAAAGCAAATCCAACGAGAATGATGACCGTAACTCGGTGACTCAACCTGTCCACGTAGTCATCGTCCACGTGGAGTTTGAACTCGCGAACGCTGAGGACCGACTTGAAGAGTCTTTCCATCCTTCAAGGTCCTATGAAATGCTGGCTAATACGTGCAGAAATTAAGAAGAGATTTCATTTATTATTATAGAACATTTAGGACAGACTTATATTTTATATTACAGATTGAGATCTCTTAAGAACTGCTGCGTGCTGATATGATTGGTCTTGCTTTGGTTCTGAGTCAAAACTTTTGACGTTCATTCATGCAGGCGTGTGTATTGTTTCATTTGTTTATTTGTTGGCAAATTATAACTATTTTGTTCCAAAATAACATATCTCTATTAAGAATGGTTAATTAAATATTCGTTGACAAAAGATGAAATGTTCGTAACTAAACAGTCAGGCGTCAAAGTAATTGCTTGCTAGCAGAATATTTGTGATTTCGAGAAACGTCCAATATAAATGTGTAACTCGTCATTTGTTATGTTGATGCTACAAATTTATAAACGATGTTCATTTTTTTAATCCGTTAACTGATATAATTCAAAAATTATTTTGCTATAAAGTCTGAAATATATTTTAATGATATCTTTCATTGTTGTGACTTTCAACATGCAACTACTAACCACAAACTATAGTCCAAACAGTTTTTTTAATATCCATTCTGAAAATTCAAAAGCAAATTTAACAAAATTAATTTTCCTAGCCTGCAAATTGAAGCACCAACAACACAACAAGAAGCATTTGACGCTGGCATGACTAATTAAGTCCGAACGAATGTATGCGTCCCAGAAAAAAATAAAAGTACACAATTTATATACATGATATAAATGTATAGGTACATAACACACACGTACATACATTCCTACGGACCTACTTCATACATGTGCAGGCTTATCATATAACAACGTAAATATACTAAAGTATACGTACAAATATATACAGAACATTAGTCTGACGTTTGCAATTTGAAATAATATTTGTCATAATATAAGTTATAGGTTATATGGCACGCCTACCTCTTGGAGCGTATCTAAGCATTACAACACGAGCAACATGGGCTTACATTCTGCTGTACGTACAGTACGTAATACAGGAGGAATTTATTGACACTTATGATGCACATATCAGCAGCAGTACAAAGATTGTATGGCTTGCGTACCATTATACGTGTGTACGAGTGCATATATTTGTATGTACGTTACGTATGTACAATGCTTTTACTCGTTTGTTATGTACAACGCGTGAATGTGTGTTGCACAACTCGTGTATGTACGTGTTGTTTGTACAGTACAACGCATGTTGGTGTATGTGTGTACAACGCATGTACGTGTGTGTAGTTGTATAACGCGTGTGTGTGAGAATGTATATGCAAAACAAAGCATACACAGCACACAAGTGGCGTGAGTTAGATGTGTAAGCTAATTTAACGCTTCGATGTCATGTCCTTCCTAGCTCAGGGTTCATCAGTTGTAAATAATTCTACTATTATTATATTCCGATTATTTTTTATCTTTTTCTTAATTTTTAACAACAAATAAGTACGATTAAAAATAAATAAAACACTAAAACAGCGTTTAATTAAACTTAATGTGCGCTTACGTTCAAATATTTGCACCCATAGATTTATGAACTCAGATGCAAAAAGCATTTAACTAAAAAAATTTCCTAAACTTGTCATTATCAGTTTCATATGCACTTGGGTGGTTTGTGTACAAGCACTATGTACAAGCACTAACACAGTGAAGTAACCATCAGCCAAGAAACTATACTTGGCTCGTTTCCAGAATGTACATGAACTGCATGAATGTGCAATTTGCCATGCTGTGATGACGATGTCACATGATATTGTTTGTAGTGATGATGTGGTGACGTTGAGATCATTATGTTCATATTCGCCAGTCATTGTTCACCTTCAATATAAACTATATTTACTAATGATACCTGTTCAATAATAGTTATCATTAGTAAATACCACCACCCGATATACAAGCAATGTACAGTACACACATATTTGGTATTGTTGACGAATAAGAAATATATCCAATACTCAATTAAAAAATACTCATTAGCAAAATATTAAAACTAGTATGAAAATCTCAATCCTAGTTTTGTATAAAATTGTATTTTAATGGTGGATCTGGATGTATCAAAAAGTACATTCTACGGTATTTATTGATATCACATGTGCAACAGACCTTCATTCATATGATACATTCATTCAATGCATACCTAACCCATGCACACAGAGGGAGATATTAATGCATGCATGCACAGAACATGGAGCATGGAAGGGTTGGGCCATCACGGATGTTTGTTTATCTGTCTCGTTTCTAAGGTACAAATCCCTGAGAGGTTAAAATGGAAATGTTGGAATATGGTGCAGGGCATGACAATGATGGGAATGAGGATGATGATGGGAATGAGAATGATGACGACAACGAGAATGATGAGGAGGATGTTGGTTACGAGATCTACAAACTGCAATGAAGATGGTGAAGGCGATGATAATGGTCAGTGTTGTAAGTTTTGATGATAATAATAATGATGATGATGTTGATGATAATAATAATGATGGTGATGGTTAATATTGTAACTAAAGATAACAATGATGATGATGGTGAGGATGACTACGACGATGATGATGATGACGACTGTGATGGCTGTGGTCAATGCAGCAGATGATGATGATGATGATAGGAAAAGTATTTATGGAGGTTTAATAATGATTAGGATAATGATGAAAATGATAATAATGATGATGGTGGTCATGATGATGATGGCCATGATGATGGTCATGATAATGGTCATGATGATGATGATGATGATGATGATGATGACGATGACGATGAAGACGATGATGATGATGATGACGATGACGATGAAGACGATGATGATGATGATGACGATGACGATGAAGACGATGATGATGATGATGATGATTATGATGACGACGATGATGATTATGATAATGTATGTATAACGTTTGACGCGCTAAGCCTTCGCAAAATTTGCTGATGGAAAAATTATCTACGAGGTTTTGTCGATGACGTCTGCGATGATGATGACGTCAGTGGAAGAAAATGTTGATGCTGATGAAAAAATAGTATTGACGATGACGATATCTTGAATGATGGCGATGATACGAAAGATGAAAACGATGAGGATGATGATGATGATGAATCAGATATCTCCCAAGACAAAACATTGATGATGACGACGACGACGACTATGACGAAGACGTTAGTGCCAATGATGATATTAATGATGATACAAATGATGATGGTGATGTTGTTAATGATGGTGGTGATGATATTAATGATGGTGGTAATGATATTAATGATGACGACAATTAACGATGTTTATGATGTCATTGAGGAAAATGTTGTTTTTGCTCCATCTTTCACGTCTGCTGATTTACGAAGTTTTAACATTAAGTCGGCGATGTCGTTGTCGACTGGTAATAAACTTGGTGGCGTGTTGCGATGGTGGCCGTAAATTTGGTGGCAACGGTAGCCGCTTCTTACGACTTTTCGAGAGAGGTGCTACAGAAAATTCAGATATAGATACAAATAGCGTTGAAGATGATGATGATAAGAATGTGAGTTATGATGATAATTAGGATGAAGACGCCACGGTAGAAACAATTTTTGTAGAAATATTGACGATAATTAAAAATTGATTAATTATAAAGAAAATGATGATGACAATGTCGAATGCCCTCTGCAACACTTTATGGCGATGATGTGATGAAGTCTTTACTATGATGTGGTTATCTATTATATGATTCACTATGATTTGATTCACTATAAAATGATGATATTTATAAAGATGATACAGGATGTTTTCTTGTTGCTATTGTTCTTTGCAATCGTGAATCTAATGACAATTCTCATGTGGGTGTGATGTTGCCGATGAAATGATGAATCTTTCGGAAAACTTGTTGATTGGGAGGACATTTATGCAACTGATGTTGATTAGATGGACGATAGCGATAATGATAACGATGCAATTGTAATCAATAATGATAATATGGTGATGATGTTTTTGCCTTCGAAGTCGACAATGATGACGACGATATTTTTAAGGTCAGTTTGTTCGTGATAATAATGTTGATGAAAATGTTGATTAATGTATTGTTTATGTTCGTTGTGTGAAGCTGCAGTTGAAGCTGCAGTGGCTTCTGGCTGCAGTGGTTTCTGCTTCATAGTCATCGTCATCAATTTCATCATCACCATCATTGTCATCATAATTATTCATCAATTTTGTTCTTGTCATCACCATCATTAAATACATCACTATCATCATCATCTTCATCATAATCATAATTACAATCATATTTTTACAAGTAAATTTGTTATCATTAATTTTCTACGTTTAATGTTATCCTTCCATAATCTTGTATCTAAATAACGCAATCAAGATTAAGCAGTCTCAATGAATAACCTTATTACTATAATTAGCACCATCAACATCACACACACACACAAACAAACACACACCTACACACACTTTTCACCGTCATGCATAATGTAATACGTCCACTGGATGGTTGGTTGGCTGGCTGGCTGGCTGGTTGGCTGCTTCTTTTTTTGTCTATGCACTTTAAAATGCTGGCAGAACAAAAGAGTTTTGCAAGCATGGAAAAATGTACATTAATTATTTAATGTTTTATTTAAAATGAGGGAAGCAAAAGGAAAGGAGAGAAAGAGAAAGAGAGAGAGAGAAAAAAAGAAAGAGAGAGAGAAATATAAAGAAAAAGAGAGAATGAGAGAAAGAGAAAAAGAGAAAGAAAGAGAAATCCACATTCATAATATTCTGTGAATTTTTTTTCATCAATTAATTCTATCAATTGACTTATAGTTGCAAGTTTTACTTTTTCATTTACAATCCTCTGCGGTACTAAAAAGATTGAATGTTACAATTATTCATGATTTGTTGCAATCTCTTTTCAACAGTTTCGTTTCAATCGACGACAAATTTGGTCAATTTTTTATTCCCTCTTGTCAACTTTTAAATTATTAGTTTTATTAATTTGGTGGAATCAATACTACAAAGTGGTGTACCTATTTTTTATAAGGTACGTTCAAGAAATGTGATTAGTCCCAATAGCGGTTGATAGCAATTTTAGTGGAGTAGTTTTTCAGATGAAACAACAACAACAACAACGACAATGAATCTCAGGACGCCGTCCATACCTTATGTGTTAGAAAACAACACCGCATATATTTGAACCTGGGTGATTATCATTATTGTATGTTTTGCTCAAAAAAAATTTCAAAATATTATTTACAGAAAATATATACATTTTTTTTATTCCATTGCAAACAGAAGCAGACAGATTGTAAACACGCAGAAGACATGTAGGGTCCCCCTCTGCATGCCAGCACGTTCCACGCAGAGTGAAACACCCCATCAAAAATTTAGATGCAGTTAACTTGTTGTTTAGTAATGCTCTTAGTCCATTAATTGATCGTTCAATGGAATATCATTTATTTGATATTAATGTTGTTGTCATAATTTTAGGCCAGGTTTTTGATAAATTGCAAAAATAACATCAAATTTTTATTGATTAAAATTTTAGTCGTTATAAAAAAACTACGTTCAATGCCTCTTTGTAAAAGATTGGTTTGACGTTTTGATCATGTCACAAGATTCGTTGTCTTTTAACGAAATACATTCAACTAAAACTACACAACACAACGTTGCACTTGTTACGGATGAAATTAACAGCCTGCTGGTGCGTTACATCCGCTCGTACGACATGCCACCAGGTACC